TTTCGATAACAGGTTTGCATGTACGATATATATTTTTTTTTTTTTTTTGTACATATTCAAAAAATAATAAACTAAACTAAAGGAAAGCCACTATTTGCAACAGCAAGGGAGTGGCAATCATTCAGGGATTCAAATCTTATAAGAAATGTTCCAAATGTTCATCTTGATCAAGGCTTTAACCTCTCTCACACAAATCAGTACAAGAGTGCTGCACATTATGTATTATGATGCTGCAAGAAAGGTGCTGAATTTGATTTAGGTGAGTTGTATTACTGGAATATAACTTTTTATTAATTCAGAAATTACTAAAAATATCTGACCTGGCAAAGTCGAGGTCAGCCTCCCTGGACATGGTGATGTTGGTGAGGTTCTGCTGGAGGACAAAGATGTTTCTGCACATCTTCTTGATGCCAGATTCACTGATGCGCTTAAAGTTCTGTGCGCCGTTGATCAGGATACAAGAAATCAGATGACCAAGACCTAGTAAGAGAAAAGAGGGAGGGCTCATAAAAAGAGAGAAAGACTGTAGTTGATGATCAGCACAGAGGCAAATTTGTAGAAAGTAAGGAATACCAGGAATTCTCTTAGATGCTTTTTAAACTTGGGAATTTCATACCAGAAACTTAATTCAACTCATCCCTGCTTACCTTCAAATATATACTGGAACTTGTGCTGCTGCAGGGCTGCTCCCATGGCTTCCTCTATGGCTGAGATGTCCTTGTTCAGTTTGACCACCAGCGGGTCATAGTCCATGCTTTCCACATTAGCCACAATGGCGTAATTTCCTTGCTTGGTCAGGGGGATCAGGTAATGGAAGCAATGCACTCTGGAGTGAAACAGGAGAAGATAGCAAAGCACAAAGAGCAGTGATGAAGCAGACAATTTCAATGCTAGAGAATATTCTGATGTTTGATTTGTATCAGTCTGATGACTTGTCATTAAATATACACCTGTTCCGTATCTATAATTTCCAATGTGCCCCTTTCATAGTCACCTACTGATAAGCTAAAATTACCTATGGCAGTACCAAACCTTGAGAACAACAAAAACAAATAAAATAAAGATGTAAACATACAAGGATAATAATCTCTGCCCTTGTGCATATACCTTTATTTAATATTATTTCTGTAGACATCCTTTAGTTGAAGTATTTGTGATAGCTTTTCTCATTACACTACAACTACATCATGGTTTGATATCATTAAGCCAAGGGCTGTTAGGCATTGTGCTTAATATGCTGCACATTTCTAAAGGTTAACTGAAAAATAATTCTTAGAAATTGGCTGAAAAATCTGACTATTTGAAAAACATGAACAAATACTTAGGCCTCAAATTATTTGATTAAATTTGAATTGTTTTACAAATAATTTTAAAGTAAGCATTCAGTTCCAACTTTAGTATAAAGTCATTTACATCCAAATAAGAGCATGTGTTTTCAATTATTTTTTTTTTAAATTGATTAAGATGCATGTTCTTATATAAGGATTTTAAAATAATTGGACGTTAAGTATGAATTTAATCTTTACATTTGAAAACAGGCCTTGGGAATGCCTGATTTTCAAGTCAGCCTCAGGCTGTAAAAACAAAAAAAATACTTTTGAGAGAAAAATACACTTAACCGTTCTCCAACAATACCATCAATAACATCATTAAAAAGTCTTAAATAGCTGTTAATTATAAGCATTCTATCAAAGAAGATTTTTTTTTCCCCAATTTCCATTCAACTTCATTTTCTAGCATTAAGCAGATGTCATGATAGTGAGCACTTGTATTATTACGGTAAGTCTCAAGAATAGAAAGAACAGATCAAGCTTCACTTTAAAGTCTTCAAAAGGCAGCATAGTTAAAAAAGGCTTTAGAACCCAAATATCATCTTAATTTTATAGATCTATATTCCAAGCTCAGATTTAGCCAACAAATTTAAAATTGATTGGTCAACACTTCACAAAACAGATAATCCATTACTCAAAGTAAAGAAAACCACCAATAAGTTATTAAACATTTTGCAACAGCTGAGACAGTCAAATAATCACGCTCTGTTTAACTTGCTCAAGATGAGACAGCTGTAGTAACAGCATCAACAAGTATGAAATCAATACTTGGATGATGTGCAAGGTTTCCACATTCCATTATCTACAAAAGACACTCAGCAAGGAAAACAAATAAAAATTAAGACATTTATTTCCTAAATAATATATAACTGTAACTTGGAGAAGTTTTGTCAAGCAGTTAAAATAAACCTTTCTAAGCATCCAACTGTTCCCTGTATTCCCTGTACACGTCACTTTTTAGATCTTTTTACAACATGCCACATTTCTGTGTTCACCTTAAAACCTACAACTTTGTTTTAGACCCTTTAGGACCATGTAAGGCTGATGATTGGCTGGATTTAAAAGGTCAATACTTTTTTGTAATTTCATAATCACAGTGCCCAGAGCGTAGGGGTATGAAATTATATGGGTGAACATATTTTCCCCTAGAGGTAAACCCAAAAACCCCTCCACATATTGAACGCCTCCATCTCTGATCCCTCTCTCTTTTTTATTCAATCATTTCTTCCACTTAGCTACTGTAGAATCTTTTTTTTAACCCCACCAACACTTTCTTCTCACTCATCCTTCTTTCTTCTTTTATTTTCATGGCTTCATTTAGTTGGTACCACTATCAGGGGAAATTTGTGCAATGGGTAAAGTCAATGGAGTGGAGCATATAGCTAGACATCAGCCTCAGGGAGGGTTTTCTACTGAAATCATCAACAATACTGCATAAGCTACACAATGGACTATAGAGGGATGGAAAAAAGATGGAGAAGGTTGATGGAGGGCTATTAGTGGTGGTGGTGGGAGTGGAAAAAGTATATGGTGTGGTAAATTAACTTAGGTATTGACATTCAAAATACATACTGAAGACAGTGTATGCCTTTCTGAACTAATGCATTTAGACAGTGCAATGACAAGTTCTTTTTGCTCAATGAGTTTAATGTTACATCCTTTGTGTTGTTTGGTATGTAGTACCTGAGTGTTGCATACTTTATATGTTTATGAAAAATGTTCTTGCAATTCCTTACATGATACAACAAAGTTCTAGCAATACAGTTATATCGTGTTAAAAATCGGTCATACGAAACACCTATTGGCAGCATTGTGTCCCTTCAGGTGTCAGCTGACAGCCACAAGACAAAAATAAGGATCTTGATGTGTTAAGGCTCATCGTCACATTTGACAGAAATCAAGATTGTGCCCGTGTACGATTTAGCAGAAAAACAGGAATCTAGTTTTTTTTTTTTGTTTGTATTTTTTTTGTTTTTTGCACAAGGACGGTGAATAGTGACAGCTGGAGAAATTTAATTACCATATACCATTTTTTGAAATTTAGTTTTAAAGCAATATTTTGTGTAAAAGGTTTTTCAAAACCCAACTACTTTAGGGAGATTAAATGAAAGCTGTGTTATAATTTAACTCGAGACAAGCTGCTTTTTATTTGTCAAGGGATTTTTGCACAAAAAGTAAACTGTTGCCCTAAACATTGAACTTTTTTCCTGGCTAAACTTTGAATAAACAATGATTTTATTAATATACTTGTACAATGAATAAATATGTGTGCTTGTTTGTTCTATTTGTGAACGATTATGTGATTTTGTGATGCCACTTTAATTGGTGATATGTGACTTACCTGTGCTGTTGATTATCCATGCTACTGAGCTCATGCTGCTGACTATCTACTGCTGCTGTATTCATTCATACCCATCTACTCACTACAAACTCATGTTCAGGCTGCTGTTTAATATACTGTATTATTTTACATTATTAGTGTTTAGCGTATATCTTAGATCTTTTAGTGTATCGTTTAGCGTTCAGTTAGTGTATTACTTGGTGTATATCTTAGATCCTTGTATACTGTTTCTTTATATACTTTATATTTTTGCTATTTTTGGGTGTAACAGAGAACTTGAGTACACAATTTCATTCCACCTCATGTACCACATGTGATGCAAATGACAAAGAACCTTGAATTAGGAAACTGCAGCTAAATAAAGTACCAAGAAATCTCAGAATATTTATCAATCTGTAACATACACACACACACACACACACACACACACACCGATATACTGAAATGGAATATGGTAATGTTCAAGACTTTCATAAACTTTTGTTTTTTTAATTGTTTCTGTTGCATACCTGACCTCCAGATGCAATACCAGAAGACAACGGTCTGCGATTTCCTGGAAACCTCGAGACAGATCGTTCAGAGTCTGGAGAATCTGCTCCCTGCTACGTTCACTCTCACCCAGCACCTGGCTGTCTGTTGAGCATGAAAAGGCATCTGGGCAGACACAACAAGAAGGAACAAAGAGAAAAATTATTACACTGAGTAATGTTGAGCAGTAGTTAAGGTATCATCATTTAAAAGGAATTTAAGACTGTCAAGATTCTGCTAAAGAGCAGCTCAGAGCTCTCAATATTTTTATTTGTAATTGACCTTGACACCACCCCCAGGAATGCTTCATGAATTTACTTTTTACAAGTTTGTTCGAACTCGCTGTAATATCCTCCATTTTAATGTGCACCTCATACGACATTATGAGCTAAATGTAAATGACACCAGCTCATTTACACATGTGTGAAACGGAATCATTAGTTCAACTTCACACACTTCCTGAGTCCTTCAGCATGTTCTTATACTTTCTTCCCATTACTTGTGCTGAGGCAGCAGAAGCATGTGTCACTGTGCCGCATTGTAAGCCACACAAAAGACCTGAGTGTGTATGTGCACGTGAAAAGGAGAGAGTCAAAGACCATGATGAGTATATATAAATTCAGCTCAGTGTAGATCAATGGCCATAAATTAACAAGGAGAGGAAAGGAGGAAAAATTGGCCCCGTCACTCATATGTAAGTCTATTTGGCCAATGAGGCGTGTGTGTACGTATGTGTACGTATGTGTGTGTGAACAAAGAGTGAATGTTGAGCAGGAGAATGCAGGAGTCCACGATCGATGTGCCGCAGTCAAAGTCAGCTCCATACTTATTCTTCTTGCCCTTCCGAAGGTCACACGTGAATGCAAGCTTGTTCGATTCCATGCACACACATAGACCCCCCCCCCACAAACACACACACACACACACACACACACACACACACACACACACGCACGCACGCACGCACACACACACACACACACACACACACACACACAGAGACAATCAAGGACAGAGCAACTGTAAACTACTAAGCCCAAAATAACCTGGTGACCTACCTCTCCTCTTCTTGACCCCTCTCAAAGGTATGGCCAAAACAAAAAGTGTAATGGAAGCTATTAACACTTAGCTCTAATGTTTTTGCACAAATTTATTCCTAGAAACCTAGACAGATACCTAGAATACCTAGATAGTATTATAGAAATTGTTTTAAGAGTCTGCAAAAATGAACTATAAACGATCAATTGACTCTTTGGCATTAACATTTCTGAACTAGATGATTTACAACTTTTAAGCTAATGTGAATACTTTTGTGTTGCAGCAGGAAAGGGTTTCATGTTTAAAAGAGAACATAAGAAGCATGGTAATGTAAAAGTAAGCTAAAACGTTTAAAACTGCGCCAAAACCTTCTGCCTTTTTATTTAATATATTAACTGCTTTCAAATGCCCTGCATTAATTTGTGGTCGTCTATACAGTCGTGCTGCTTTGCATGGTAAGTGTGTTGCATATACATCATATTATATTTTGCATTTTACCAATCCTTATTGTAGTTGTTTTAAATAAATCCTTCTAAGATAAGAGAGCAATGACCTTGAGGAACAGCAGAGCGGTGTATGCTCTGGCTGTCCAATCAACAAAGCAAACACAGCCAGGGTTGTGATGTGCCGGTGGTGACAGCTGCTCTTACAGCCTGTGTATCTGACAAGCAGAGATAAAGCCAGAGTATTCTGTTTCTCATTAAAGGTGTGGATGTGATGTTCTGAGCTGTGTATACAGAATGTCTAATGCATGTATTGTATGTATGAAATTAACTGTTAATTAACTGTCTTCTTGAGAAATTCTTAATGATGTGTATGTGCTGTGAGTAGGAGGGTAACGCACAATGATGTTAGATTCTTTGCTGCAGGTAGAGACAGTTTAGAGAAGAGTAACTAAAGATAATTTCTAATATTAAATATGCCATTAATTATTATAGTCAACGTTGTCTGTTGGCAAAATATGTCATTAATCACAGAATGGATTTTAATTGAATTTACAAAAAGTAATTAATGGGTATATTTCTATAATTCATTTTCTTTCAAACTTGACCAATTTCAAGATGGCTACCACAGCTAATCCACATTTAGCCAAGACTAAAATGGCTATCATGTGGTCAAGTTTACAGATGTTGACCAAAATCTGATGTGATAGCAATGATCTTAGCTTAAAAGGATTGTATGAAAAGAAGTAGACAATATGCGGTATTCAAGAGGCCTTTGATTAAGTCAGTGTTAAACCAGTGAAATGAGTCTCAGCAACAATAAACATTTTTTAAAAACCAGCAATGATTTCTCTTGGGAGTAAATTATTACATTACTTGATTTAATTTGATCATATTGAGCAGAAGCGGTTAACTCTCCAAGGTCAACTTATCAGTTAGTAAACAACACTAATACTGGTGATAGAATGAGTAAGGAAACAGATATCCTAACGGCAACATTAAATATTGCAGAGGACAAAAGAGAAATGAAAACACTCTCTCTCACAGTTTATAAATCTGCTGGCGAACATTATGACATCACTATTTTCATTAAAAAAAAAAGACAAAGTATCATTAAAACACATTGCAATCACAAGACTATAAATTAACAAATAAACTATAGTCCCTTTTTGTCCTCTGGAAGATTATTGTTCTTGTACTGAAAAGCAATTAGCTGAAATGTAGCTTGAAGAAAGACACACTAACTGCTAGCTACATTATATCACTTTGGCATACTGACAAAAACTTGTACTGGTATTTAGAGGTAGCAAAGAACGGGTCCCAGCGGCATTAGGAAGTGCTTGCTGCCATAGTCTTTTGGATATTAAATAATGCTAATTATTGAGTGGTAGCACAGAGGAAAGAGAAAGGGAAACTGTGATCGGAAGGTTGCCGGTTTGACTCCCGGGACTGAGAACATCAAATGTGGGTGGGAAAAGTGAAGCACTGCCTCCACCCTCATTTGCCGCACTCGGGGCCTTTGAGCAAGGCCCTTAACCACCCATCATCTGCTCCCACGGACACCCTAGATGGCAGCTCTCTGCTCCACACAGAGGGCTGTGGTAGCTCGGTGGTCTGTGGTTGCATCAGGAAGAAAATCTTGCATATAAACAATTGCCAAGTATTCGTGCGAGTTAGTTCGCTGTGGCGACCCCTGAGAAAGGGAGCAGCCAGAAAAAAAAGATAGAAATATAAAATAAATACATTACCGGTACATATAGGTCAGTGTGCCTATTGCCCTCCGTTAGCTTGTGGTTATACCTGCAAGAGAGGACACGTCCACCATGCTTTGGCCTTGGTGGTGTTTTTTCCCATGAAGTGTCAGAGTATATGCATGTGGGCATATGCATGAAAGTGACTCAGAGGCTTGTTTCCTCTCATGTGCATTACAATCAGTCACTCTGACAGAAGGAAAAAAAGGGGGATTACTGTGGCACACACAGCTGGAGGTCTCTCCAGGGGGTGTCCACGAAGCACATACACACAGACACACATGCATAAAAAACACACACACGCCAAATTCTGCCATTTCAAGCCTGTGCTGCTTTGATGATGCGAGGGAAGCGTCGCAGCATGGGGGGGCGCCATTAGTCGGGGACAGACGGGCAAACAGAGACGACTCATTGGTCCTGATTGACAACTTTCTTGCTCTTTTCTTTAGCATTTTTGTCCGTTTCTTCTTCTATGTACACAAAACTTCAACCATCTTTTTGTTAGAACGGTTTTGTGTGCACATGATGGAGGATATGCATGAGCATATTTTGCATCCATTCATGTACCCACATAAAGGCATGTGTGTGTGTGTGCACTATGCTTATCTAATTATTTTTTGAATTTCATCAAAGGGAGGCGTCTGTTGCTTACCATCTGCAAAGGATGAGGCTGGGAGACATTAAGGGATAAAATCAGTGATGGAATCCTCACAAACATACAGCACGCAAATACAGACAGAAAGGTTTTGTGTTAACACACCTAATCTTACACTCTTTACTCTGTTTGACATGTAAGGCATAAGCAATACCTTGAGCAGAATATATATAAAAAATACAAGACAAAAAAAAACCATGTTAAATTAATTTTAAATCAACCTTGAAGGAATAAATCTTTGTTAAAACCACTTCAAATGTAAGCAAAATATTATCAAAACTGCCTGAATTATAAGGTTTTTTTTGTGCTTTGTCAGGTCAGTTGGCTATAAAAACCATCTTGAATCAGATTGTTTCCAAAAGTTATTTAGCTGTAGATGTATAAGTAATGATATCTTTCTATAAGTACCTTTTCTAGTGTTTCAACAGATAGATTTCTTCACACAAACACATAAACACTATCGTATGCCTTCTCCTTTTCAATCCGAGTGATTTTAGGTAGGACATTTTAATCAAACAGGTGAAATATGACAAAAACACCATCAAATTATAGTTTTTCTTGTCCTCTGGGCCGCTGGAATTAATATAAATGTTTTCTTAATGAACTTCTCCTGATAAACGTAGTCAAAGAAAAAATATAGCTTAAGGGGAAAGACGTGCACCCACTATAGTGAAGGTGAGTCATTCCTGCACAACTGAGACAAGAAGCACAATTTGTTACAATATACCACATGATTATTATTATTATTATAGAAAACCAGCAAACTACATTAGAGGCCTAGATGTATGGCCACCTAATGATCACCAGACCTACAGCAGGAATGCACCTTAACGCACAAGTTTAGAAATTGCTGCTAAGCAATTAAGATGGCTGACAAAAACAATATTTTATGTTGTTTATGCATAGTCTTCAAAGCGATTGAGAAAGGTAAAAAATTCAAATAATTGTGATTTGTTTTAATGTTAATCACAGATATACAGTCTTGGTTAAATACTAATAGACTCTGAGTAAATGAAAAGAAAAACCTAAGAGAGGCAAAGGGAAGAAGGAATGAAAAAATAAAACAAAGAAAAGGCAACATGAAGAAATACAAAGAAAAAGTGAATCAGAAAAGTAAGGAGGAGGAATGAAAAAGAGAAAAGGCAAAACAAGGAGAGGAGAGGAAAATGACTTGTTCATACCTGACTGCTCCTGTAATATAAAATCCAATTTGGAGAGAAATAGACGTGAGGTGTGCGG